GCCACTGTTCCCTCCATGCCTATGGTCACCCCCATGGTCACGGTCACCCCATGGTCTCCCTGTGGCCAGTGTCCTCTCCCTGCCTGCGTCAATCCCATGGTCATGGTCATCCCATGGTCTTCTTGTGGTCGCTGTCTCCTCCATGCCTGTAGTCACCCCCATGGTCACCATTTCCCTGTGGTCACCTTCCCGCTATGGTCTTCCCGTGGCCACTGTCCTCTTCATGGCTGTGGTCACCCCCATGGTCACCATTCCCCCATGGTCATGGTCACTCCATGGTCTCCCCATGGCCACCGTCTTCTCCATGCCTGTGTCACTCCCATTGTCATGGTCATCCCATGGTCTTCTTGTGGTTGCTGTCCCCTCCATGCCTGTGGTCACCCCCATGGTCAGCATTTCCTTGTAGTCACATTCTCCCTATGGTCTTCCCATGGTCACTGTCCTCTCCACACCTGTGGTCACCCCCATGGTCAGCATTCCCCCACGGTCATGGTCTCCTCATGGTCTTCCAGTGGGCACCATCCTCTCCATGCCTGCGGTCACCCCATGGTCACCATTTCCTCATGGTCATGTTCTCCCTATGGTCTCCCCGTGGCCACTGTTCCCTCCATGCCTATGGTCACTCCCATGGTCACGGTCACTCCATGGTCTCCCATGGCCACTGTCCTCTCCATGCCTGTGTCAATCCCATGGTCATGGTCATCCCATGGTCTTCTCGTGGTCGCTGTCTCCTCCATGCCTGTGGTCACCCCCATGGTCACCATTTCCCTGTGGTCACCTTCCCCCTATGGTCTTCCCGTGGCCACTGTCCTCTCCATGCCAGTGATCACTCCATGGTCACCATTCCCCTATGGTCACAGACACCCCATGGTCTTCTCGTGGTCACTGTCTCCTCCATGCCTGTGGTCACCCCCATGGTCACCATTGCCCCATGGTCATGTTCTCCTCGTGGTCTTCCTGTAGTCACCATCCCCTCCATGCCTGCAGTCACCTCCATGGTCACCATTCCCCTATGGTCCCAGTCACCCCATGGTCTTCCTGTGGCCACTGTCCTCTCCATGCCTATGTCACTCCCATGGTCATGGTCACCCCATGGTCTTCCCATGGGCAACACCTCCCCCATGCCTGTGGTCACCCCAAGGTCACCATTCCCCCATGGTCACGTTCTCCCTATGGTCTTCCCATGGTCACTGTCCTCTCTACGCCTGTGGTCACCCCCATGGTCACCATTCCCCCATGGTCATCGTCTCCTCATGGTCTTCCTGTGGGCAGCATCCTCTCCATGCCTGTGGTCACCCCCAAGGTCACCATTTCCTTCTGGTCACATTCTCCCTGTAGTCTCCCCGTGGCCACTGTCCTCCCCACGCCTGTGTCACTGCCACGGTTGTGGTCACCCCATGGTCTTCCCACGGTCGCTGCCCCCTCCATGCCTGCGGCCACCCCTGTGGTCATTGTCCCCACCGTGGCAGTGGCCATACCTCCCGGAAGGCGATCTTCAGCTCCCTCACGCCCACCATGTGGGCCGTCTCCTCCCGCAGCTTCGGCCCCATCATCTGCACAAAGTCATCGAAGTCCACGCGGCCACCCACTGCGGAAAAAGGGACACCCTCAGCGCCCCACACCCCAGCCCCTGCCCCCCGGCCCCTCCCCAGCCCCACGGCTGCCGGCCCCACGCCCACTCCTCATCTCGCCCAGGTCCTTGTAGCTGATGTAGCCGTCCTGGTCCGTGTCGAACTCCTTGAAGGCGTCCAGCAGCTCTGCCCACACATGGGGACACATGGGGGCACGCGTGGGCACACGTGGGCACGTGTGGGAACACATGGGCACGTGGACCCCGGCAGGCGTGGGAGTCTCGCGGGCACCACACCAGCCCCGGGCAGGTGGTGGGAACATGGATGGTGGCCACAAGGTGCCAGCGCTGGGGACGTGGATGGTGGCCAAGGGGTGAGACTGCTGGGGACATGGATGGTGGCCACGGGGTGCCAGCACTGGGGACGTGGATGGTAGCCATTGGGTGCCAGCGCTGGGGACAGGGGTGGGG